TATTCAAAACATAATAATCACTTTAATCTAGCTTGTGCCAACAGTCCTACATGGAAGCAGTTCCGGGGAATGACGCATGAGGTCAGCGTTGCACACGCGCCGGTGCATCTCATGAAAACCAACGTTTGTTTACAGGATCAAAAGAAGCAAAGTTTCCTCTTGGCTTATATCGAAATCCTCCGACATTCTTCTTTACAAATCCTCGTTTTGTACTTCTAATTAGTGACCGTTGTTTTGTTTCGATCTCTCCGTGTGCGTTCTACGTTCCCAAAGCTGACCTCATACGTCATTCCCCCGGAACTGCTTCCGTTTAAAACAGTGAGCGCAAGCTAGATTCAAGTGATTATTCCGTTTTGAATATGGATATTTTTCTTACAAAAACGCATCTATTCGCTACAGGAGGCCTTTGTTGACCCCCCCGAGCCGTGTGAGACACTTTTTTTGTGGATGGGTGCTTTTTATTTCACGTCTTTTGAACCGAAGGAATGCAACACCCGCTGAGTACAATGATAGAGCTTGAAAGATCAAAGACCATTTTTAATATAACTCCGACTGGATTCGTCTGAAAGAAGAAAGTCATATACACCTAGGATGCTTCGAGGGTGAGTAAAACGCAGCATAATTTTCATTTTGCGGTGAACTAACCCTTTAAGGTGTAAAAAATTCTGATTGGCTGTCAGTGTTTTTATCCCTCATCTTCTGGAAAAAAAAATAGTTCTAAATGTAATTCCAGTAATATTGTTACTCTGTGTCGTTATTGTTATAGTTGTGGTGTGGCATTTTTTTAAACATTGTTCCATTTGTTTAAGTATCCAGACTGGGCCAACGTAGCAATATTAACTCCAATAGTGGGAAATTAGGGCGGAGCAATCTGTTTGCTGACCAATGACAGTTTGGGAAGTGTTTTGAGAAACCATTTTTGATAAGCCATTCTCAGTCCATTATTAAGTCCAGGGTGACTCAAGGGGGTATTTTAGGATCTATCAAATACAAATGGCAAATTATTATTAATAATAATAATAAATCTGCATGCAGCAATTATCAGGGTTCAAGCGTTTTTAAAACATTAAAGTGCATATGTAAAAATAATATGTATTATTTAGCAAGCCAGTAACCACCTAAATAAAGGAAGAATTTATTTTAAATTTTTTGCAAATTCAGGTAACAAACCATAGAAATATAATGTATATATCTCTTATAGCGCCACCTATCACCCAATACCCCCCCCCCCCCCC